TTCACAACTTACTTCTTAAATGTAAAAGGTTTTTACTGAAACAGTCATGGGCAAACACATTTAACAAAACTTTACAGCCAGTTCCTTCAGTGTGATTTCCATTTTCCCTACTTCTATTAAATCCTAATGATACTGAATTAAGCATTTTTGTTTCAAAGGAGCATAATGTGGTTTAGTCCCATTTTTTTTTTCCAGTACCAGGAATCAAACTGAGGACCTTGCACTTGTGAGGCAGGCGTGGTTCCACTGAGCTAAATCCCCGGCCTGATCCCATTTTTATAAAAGCATTTCTCTCAACATTTCCTCCTATTCTTCTGTCTTAATTACACATCAGATAATCATACATCCAGAATAGCATCCACTCAAAGATGGATATTTATGAGTGCTATTTCTGTTTTTGTTACTTTGTTTTTACTTTTTTAAGTACATATGAGTATTATTTTCACAAAAAGATATCAGAAGATATTATTTTCATAAAAGATATCAGAAGAAAATACATTAAGCTGTAATCAGGTGATTACATTCAGAGAGATCGTGCATTTGCACGATCCTGCATTTATCCTGCATTTGCCCACATTCTCCAACTTGCTCATCTCTCAGATGTCAGCTTAGCTGCTGTCGTCTTGTCCCGACCTCCCCTGGCAGCTCGGTGCGACCCACTGTGCCGCTTTTCACAGGTTGTATTCTGCTCCTCTCGTAATACCTGTCACAGCTGTGTCTTGCCTGATGCCTGTTTCCCACGTTGAAAGCAGAGGTCTACCATTTTCTTTTGATTGCAGAAGTATCACAAAGCAACTCTACCAGTAAATACTTATTGGATCCGTCAATATGCACGCAGGCTGAGCAGCACACAGCAGCTGCCTTTTACTCTCTGATGTGAACTCCCCTGGTTTTGCTCCTCACCATGCTCTGGGCAGTTTAAGCAGGAAATCATTTTACAGTTCAGAATGAGTCCCTGGTTTCCCATTTCCCTGCTTTGAGAAGATATTTTGTGTTGGCCCTGTAATCCTCCCAAAGCACAGGTCCCTGGGGTCCCTCACTGAGGCAAGCAGGGACCAGTGTGAAGATTTCCCTAAAAGTTTTCTTTCTGTGATCTAATAAATACAATGTTTGCCTTTGAAGTTTCTTACCCAGCGAGTTTGCAATAGAATCCCATGTCCGCTCCCCCTCCTCTCTCTCCATTAAGTTTATTGGTACTCTTTAGGTATACAGTACAGTTACATTCATCACAGGGATCTTGTACCTTTACATGGTGTATCTTGGTTCTTATTTTTCTCCCCATACTACTCTGCCCTCCCTGTCCCTTTTCCTCTCTGTCTCTCTTTACTTCACATGTCCACAGTGTTTATTTCACTTTTTCATTCCTTCTTTGACCTTAGAACACTCAGTCTAGTCTCCAGTCCTCCCCATTAAAACAGCTCTGTGCAACATCACACTGGGACATTGCAAATCCTCTGCTCCTGGGCTCATGGCTCCTCCCTGAAGCACACAACATGGTTGATCTGTCTTCTTGGTGGAACTCTCGCTCCCTCCAGCTCCCCTGTACCCCACTCTCCTATTCCTTCCTCATTCCTCGTCTTTAAGGATGCACTATGGTCTCTAGAGGGAGCTCAAGACTCCTCCTAGGGGAGTAGAATCTCAAGTATGAGATTTTTCCTCTACCGGTTATGCCTGGGGTCCTGATATGAGCAGCCTGCACTTATTAGTAGTGGGAAAATTAACCCATACATAGGAATGGCTTTGGGGAAAGCTCACCATTCCCTCTTCCCAGCCTCCAAAGTTCCTTTCAGGCAGAAGGTGTCATCTGGAGATTGAGAAGCTCCACACAAGCAGCAAAGGCAGTGACAACAACCAAGTAAGAGGCCAGAAATCAGAGAACATATTCCACATAGCTAAGCCTAAACGAAGAGACAAACAAGGACTGGGCTGTGGCTACCATGCTTGAGGCCCTGGGTTCCATGCCCAATACAGCAAAATAAATGAATAAATAAAAGTAAAAGAAAAAAAGTTTAAGGCTACAAAACAATGCAAAACCAGTCACCACTAAACTTAAGATGAACGTTGTGAATGCATATGGTCTAGCAGCATGACTATCCGTGTTAATTCCACGCTCAAAATCTCCAGTGTCCCCTCAGGCTGAAGGTTCTAGTCTAAACTCCTTAGTATGTTGTAAAAATCTGTTTGTAATCCAACTCTGTCCCCCTTCTCTCTGATTTGACAATACCTCACACCGCCTTTTCTACTGTGCAAATTCTTACAGCTCTCCAAAGACATCGTATTCTTTCGTGATTCTCTACTCCTACATGTGTTCTCCCCCTTAAATACCCTCCTTGGAATTGCCCCATCCACTCGGCTCTCATGGCTTTGAAACCCAACCCACCTCTACAGCCTTCTGGGAAGCCCGGCCTCACTTCCTCCTTCCAGGGTCCTTTGAGCACCGCTCTCAGGCACCATTGCTCTCAGAGCAGAGACTCATGGGATAACTATTCAGTTCACCTACTCACTGCAGGACCTTTATGGGGTAGGGATGGAAATACCACGTGAGTGTGCGCAGGTTTTAGATTGTTGAATGCTTTGAGGGAATGTAGGGATGGAAGGAAATGTTGAATGGGGCTATGAGCCAGGCACTCTGCCTAAGAGGCGGAATTACTTCCCCACTTCAGGGACATGTTGTCTGAGGTCTGAGACACACTAACTTGCCAAGAGGAAGCCAGCACCATGGCTTAGACCAGTGTCTCCCAAGGGCTCGGCATCCGTATGGGGGAGTGGTGGGCCCTGTAAGGACTTCTGGTGGGAGGTAGCCAGGTCTTGGGGGGCCCTCAATGGAGACTGCGGGCTCCAGACCTTCCTCTCCCTCACTCTTTTGCATCCCGGCCAAGAGGAGAGCCATTTTGCCACAAACCACCGCCATGACATGCTACCTCCCTGCACCTCCAAAGCTGTGAGCCAAAACAAACCTTTCCACTCAGGAGTCAGTGACCTCACGTATTTTGTTTCAATGATGGAAAGTCAGCTACAGCCAGTCACAGAGCAGAGGGATTTTATAAAACAGACCTGATGTCAGCACTCCCACGTCTTGCCTCACCTCGGGACCACCCTGCATCAGGCAGAGAGAGCAGAACCCGGGCACCATTCACTGGTTGTGAGACCTGAGTCAGCCTGCAAGCCGAGTCAGTTCCCCCACTCTCGAGCACAAAAGGAAGGCCAAAACCCAAGCGTGCTCAGGTGGCTTTGCTCTGAAAGACAATTCAAGAGTGCAAGGTGCTTTTGTGGCCCCATGAGATGACAGTGGATGGAAGACTGCACAGGGACCCGAGGGTGCACACCCAGGAAAGCGCACACACCACCCGGCACCTTCTGCAGTGTGGCCCAGGCTATGGGACACGGCTCATTTTAGGAGGTGAGCCGGCTCACTTCTGAAGGAGAGAAGAAAACCGAGGCAGCAAGCTGGCTGAGACCACAGCAAGATGGGAGGAGTTAGGTCTAATGTGTCTGCCGTCCTGGAGGGGCTCTGATGTGCAAGATAACCGGAGGTAAGAATCGTCTCCTTGACCTGCACAGCTCTCATTTGTCTTTGCAAGTTTGGGAAGAAGATTGAGCAGGAGGGACTGAGCCTCCTTGGCAGATGGGGGCCCGGCAGGACAATGAAGTAAGAGTTCCTGCCTACTCCGTCCACCATGTTACAGCATCAGCCAAAAACTCAAAAGCTGGGATTTGAACCCAGATCTTTGCTCATTTTAATGCCAAGTTCAGTGTTCTTCCCATGTCGTCAAGCTAAAGACAAACTCATTCTTTCACTTCATGAATATTTTCTAAACACCCAAAATGGGCTAGGCATTAAGTCACACGCAAGGAATTCTGAAAGCCACACGGGAGCTACCCGAGGTTGAGATTTAGAAAAGTGACAATAATCAAAATGAAACAATAATACTAAACTTTTACTATAAACCAAGCAGCTCTGTGTGACCTCTTGACATGAAATCAAGTGTTCTGTGTGCCATATTATTAAATCCTGCTGACCATATCATGACGCAGGTGCAATGATTGCATCGTTTTTTATAGATGAGGAGACTGAGTTCCAGCTGAAGAGTGTGACAAAAATGACAGGCCTTACGTGAGGCACAGCGTGGTCTCTGACACAGACCGACCCAGAGCCTGCGGGCACAGGTTGTGTTAACTCTGGGCCCTGTCCCGAGGCTGAGTGCACACCCAGCTCCTCCCAACCTGTGGCGGGTGCATCCTGTCCCCACCCCCACACCTCAGCAACCCTGACCTCAACAGGCCAGGGGAGGCCTCCGGAAGCCCCCACATCCTGCATTCTGCTGAACCCACAACATGCCAGGACACCAGTCCCAGCTGCACACACAGCCAGCTTGAGCTGCCGGGCTGGGCTGAATTACCAGCCCCTTGGCTAGAAATAGCCCTCCGAGAAGTGTGCGGTGGCTACGTGTCCACAGGGAAGGAAGGCGGCAGGGCAGGGGAGCCAGAGTCCCAGGAACCCAGATAACAGGAATCCCGACACGCATCCTGAATGCAGGAGGCCAGCAGGGTCATGGGCCCAGGCCTGAGTGGGAACCAGGATGTGTGCTCCCCTTGTGGGCTGCGTGCCAAGCCCAGCATCCTGAGAGGGTGGACTGCAGCCTCTCAGCAGCTCTGAGCACCCATCAAACTGGGTAGTCTGTGTGGATGGACTCTCTCTCTCTCTCTCTCGTCTTACTGGTTCTTCTTTGGGCAGATCCCAGCTTTCAAAGACGACTGTCTTCCCTCTGGTTTTGGACAGAGATGCAAAGTGGGGTATCAGGAGTGGACAGAGAGCTATAGATGGGGTAATCCCAGGATCCTTCTTCCTCTACCATAGAAGAAATACCCAAAGCTCCCAAGGAGCGCTCATTCCCCATGTACGAAACGTCCTCCACCACGGCAGTCATCGTCCTCCACCCACCATGTTCCTTCCCATCATGGCCGCTCCATTACTGAAAACAGAAGCATTCACAGAAGGGGTGAACTGCAGAAGGCCTGGATTCGACTCCCTCCTCTGCCGCATACTAGGGGTGACCTTGGGCACCTCCAACATCAGTCCTTGTGGGAAGGATGGGGATCCTCAATATTATGGGTTTGGTGGGAATATCAAAGAATGCGCCTGCAGATTCTCTGAGGTGTACACAGCCAGGAGATCTGTCTGTGCAGGCAAGGATTGGCTCGTTACTACATGAGACTGTGCGTATACACCGGAAAGGATGCTCCTCCAGTTTGAAGCTGAGAAAGGGTCTCACTGAAACAAGTTGCACTGGTTGGGCTTGAACTTGGGATCCTCCTTCCTCAGCCTCCCAGAGTGCTAAGCTCACTGACCTGTGCCCCGGGGCTGTGACTAAATCACAGTGACCACAGATACTGACTGGGACAAATGTTACTGCTGTTTTGCTGTCATTGTTTCAACGAGCTCCATTTCTGCAGCAGTGCAGGGTTTACAACTATACTGAGCAGTCGTGCAGAGTCCCCGCGCCCGTCTCTCCCTGCAGGCAGTTGCCCGTTGCTGAACCTGGCCCTGGCACAGTGCCCTGGCCTTGCTGGTGAACCACAGCTGACGCACTGTCCCAAGCGCCGGTCCGCCTTGGCCTGGCATCTTCCCTGGGCTCTGACAAACACATGCTGTCACAAGTCCATCGTCACAGCGCTGTGCAGAAGGGTGTCACTGCCTGGAGGAGGGCCTGCCTGCTGCGCCCTCCCTGTGCCCTCTCCTTGCGAAGCTGTCTGAGGCAGGGCTGCCTACCCAGGAGCAGCCCCAGCCCTGCGGGCCTGCAGAGCCCAGAGCACAGCTGAGAGCAGTGAGGGCCCGGGTCGCCACCCACCCTCATCTCCCCGCTGCTGCGGCTCAGTCTGACATTTCCCAGCCCTTCTTTCTACACCAGCTGCTTTCAGGCACCTCTCAGATCTCCCTTCTTTCTTTTCACTTTTCTTTATTGTTATTTTTTCACTTTGTAGTAGCACACGTTTGTGATACACAGTAAACACATTCATTGTAGAGACCTACTGCATACGTATCTTGGGTCTCGATCACACGTTTACTTCCTCTTCCCCTCCCCGCTGGGCCCCCATCCCCAAGTTCCCCATCTCCATAGTCAGCCTCCCTGTTTTCGATCACCTTTTATTTTGCTCTTTAAATTATTTATACTTTGGGTTTCTCATATGAGAGAAGCCACGCAGTGTTTGACCTTGTGCATCTGAGTTGTTTCCCTCGGTGTGATGCTCTACTACCACATTATCTGCTACACACGACTGATATTTGTCCTTCTTTACGGCTGAGTAGCACTCCGCGTGCACAGTCTGATCGCCCTTCCGAGGTCCTTCAGAATCCTTACATTCCACCTGTGTTACACTTGGACAACTCTAAGCTCCTAAGTAAGCAAGCACTCTGCTATGCGTGTTGGACGAGATATTCTCAAATGTATGCTCTCCTTGTAATACACAACTTTGATCTCTACTAAATTCAAAATGAAGCCGGGCGTGGTGGCGCATGCCTGTAATCCCAGCACTCGGGAGGCTGTGGCAGGAGGATCGCTGTGAGTTCGAGACCAGCCTGGGCTACACAGTGAGTTCCAGGTCAGTCTCAACTACACAGTGAGACCCTGTCTCAAAAAAACAAACAAAACAAAATGAATGGCAAGATACAGTGATACATTTGGAATAGAAGCTCATTTTCTAATTAAATGCTTTCTAATTAAATACTTAGATGTGCACCCTTCGAGTCCAGTCCTGACAGGGGTCAGTATTTACAAATCCATGGGTGTGGCCCCCACAAGATCACTGGAAGCCTGGGGTTCCCTGGGAGAAGGAGCAGGAGTGAAAAGTCACTCCCACGTAAGCACCTCCACATTTTAGTGGATTTTAACTCTAGCCCTGATGTCTCATACTGCCTGAAGACGGGACCTCCTCCCATGGGATCTTTCGGGAAAGCTGCCATGACAAAAGTAATTTTATCTTGGGGAGGAAAACTGGAACACTTTATTTGGAGGAAAAGAAGGGGAGTGGAAAGGATGAGTCCATGGCAGTACTGGCCCCAGGGTAAGGGATGACAGAGAACTTTGGGGACCCAGACACCAAGGCCACCCCAGGTAGGGCCACTGACATGTTGGAGACATGGCATGTGTAAATGTCAGGCATGGGTACAAGTGCAGGCATGCATGGGTCTCCACCACATTCACCTTGGGAGTCACCCCAAAAGTCTCAGGAGGAGAAGGAGCAAGGCTTCCAGGAGAGGGACTTCCCAAATGGGATGTGATGGAACAGTATATAAGGATTAAAAAGAGGAGATAGGGACATACACACGGGCCTGGACAGATGGACTTGAGCACAGACAGAGTGTGCTTATCCTAACTATAGGGAGCCCCAAACTTGCAAAGTGTATGTGTGTGTGTGTGCGTGTGTGTGCGTGCATGTGCGTGTCCACAAACCAATACTGGTTACCTCTGATAGCATATTACCTCTACAGGGGTTCTTCATCTCCTATTTCATAGAACCACGATTTACTTTTTAATAAATACAGATTTTAAATAATGCCCTTTGCCTCCCTGATCTATAAAATCCTACTATACAGAATTGCACATCAGGGGCAGTCATTCCAAACCCCGCCTGGTTCAGCTCATGGGGTTTGGAGCCTCAACAACAAATGACGGAACAGTGACGGTGTGGACACATACAAAATACACTGCCCGGAAACGCAAGCTCCTCTCGGGTCAGGACTGTATGGTTCCGTTCTTAGGCTTCTCTGAGGGTTTTCTACAAGGTATTAGCCATTAGCTTTTGATAAATGCTTACGTCTTGAGCAGATATATTAAAGCAAGAGAGAATCTGCTTGGTTATAAAGGAGTATTTTTGTTTTGTTTTGCTGGGTTTGTTTTTGTTTGTTTGCCTGTTGTAGAGCTGGGAATGCAACTGCTCTCCACCGCTAGCTATGTCCACAGCCCAGGCAGTGCGTTTTAATTACTGAGATGATGAGATACTGGGGGGCATTGCAGGAAAACTGTGGCACAGCCCCCAAACAGTGAGAAGACCAGGAGAAACCTCTGATATCCCTCTGCCTGAACACGGGACCAGCCGAGGTTACCCCAAGCCGGGAGGTGATGATGCAGATGAGCATAAGGAACCAGGGACCACCGAGTCCTACCGTAGGTGGACCAGAAGGCTGGGAACCCCCACAAGGCCGCCTCCTTTCCTGTCTCCCAGTTTTCTTTCACCTGTTCCTCTCGTTTTCCCACCATAACCTAATGATGGCCCAACCCATGTTTTTTGTTTATTTGAAAATCTGTTAAGCCTTACACTGAGAATATAATACAGCAGAATTAAACATTGTCACCTTCTCAGAGCTGATTCTGAGACACTGGGAGATGAAGGACGGGGACAAGCTTGCGGGGTGGGAGACACCATGTCTCCGGCGCGCATCAGCGCCTGGTTTCGTAAGTGCAAGTGCAGAGACTGGACCTAAGGTCACCACCCAGCTCCCAGAGCAAGTTCTCCTGAGGTCCAAGGGGAGCTCCGGAAAGGTTCCCCACCTGCCTTGGGACCAGCCTCCCGGTCACATCCAGCCCCCGACAGTGACACTCAGGAAGCACAGAGCGGCAGTGGCCTCCTCCCTGGACTTCCTGCTCACAGCTGGCCTCTGTGTCACTGTGGCTCCTAAGCTCTCGCGGTGCCGGGACCCACCCCTGAACCGCGACAGAGGAGGGCCCTCTAGCGACAGGGCCCGGGACCCTGCAGCCCCTCCCCCCACTCACCGGCTCCCTGCGCTGTCCGGGCCACGCACCCGGTCAGAGGGAAAGGCTGCCCGTGGGCTGCAGAGCACTGCTTTGGGAACTCCCCATACGTTCTTTAGGGAACCTGCCGCCGCAGTTCCCTAAGAAGTCCCGCCTCTATCTGCCGCTAGGCTGCAAATCCGGGTGGGTTTCCAGGCCGGGGGCGGGCCTTGGTTGTGCTAATTCCGGTGCGTGCTAGAGGCTCAGAGCCTGGTCACCGCTGCGCGCTTCCCTATTGGCGTCTCCCGAATGCCTGGGCTTCCCGGCCCACTGTGGCCTAGGTCAGCCCTGGGCTGGCGAGGTTGAAAGCCCCTCAGGTGACGCTAGTGGGCAGCGAGGCCTGGCTTCTCTCTTCACTCTCCACGTTTCCATATTGCAAATGCAAAGAGCTATTCTGAGACTCCCAACTCTTCCTTTACTATTGTCAAGTGGGGAATGTTTCTTCTTCCTCCCGCTCAGGATCCCTCAGAAATAAATCCACTTCCCTGGGCGCCACTCTCTTCAGATCCAGCTACTCAGTATCCGGGCCTCTTTTCAGAGAGAGAGATCTCTGGAAATGAGCGAGCCATCGTGTGAGCTCTCTCCTAACAATCAGCCCAAGGAGCAAGGAGCCCACCCACCTCCTGCAAAATTGAGTGGATGGTGGGTGTGCACCCCGTGACACTGCCCACCGGGGCTGGACAAGCCCCTTCCCTCCAGGCTCCTTGAGCACAGACCCTCTCACTCCGTCTCTTGTGAACGCTGCTACCATTTCTTGGTGTCCCAGGCACTTAGCTCTTACACAGCTCTGGTAGTGAATGAAGTTTTTCTCTGTTCAGTAATGCTGAAAGCCCAGGAGGATCCGTGTGTCCTGTTTTTAATTACTAAAAGAACTCCCTGCGATCTTTCACCCAGAGAAGGATCCAGTAGCTGCTGGCTGCTTCAAGGTATTTCCCATCTCTCCCATTCACAGTTGAAGAGAAGATGCAAGGATTTCAGTCGGCAAAAGTTCCAGAATGATCGCCCTTCAATTCTGAAAGCTAGCTAGTTCTCCAGCCAGCAAGATGCAGGGCTGCATATATGGACCACACTGTGGCCTTTACGTTACCAGGAAGACTTTCAAACATAAGCATTTAAATATCGTCACTTCCATCCGACCCCGGGGAGCCAAGCTCACATATCCCAGAGACTCGCGGCCTGGGGAAAATGCTGTGTCTGCCGCAGCTTCAGCTTTCTCCCCAGTGCATGCATGGCTCCAGGTCCATTGTGCTGTGTGGGCTTGCACAGCCCAGAGAGGGTGTGGGAGATGGGAAGTCAGTCCTGGATTCAAATCCAACCTCTTCCATGTTTTAGCTTCTGTATTTGAACAAGTCCTTCAGGTTGTGTGCAGAAAGGAAATTCCAGTGTCTCCCTAAAGGCTTATTCTGGGGCTGGGGATTTAGCTCAGTGGTTCTACTGCCTGCTTTGGAAATATAAGGTCCAGAGTTCGATCCCTGGTACAAAAAAAAAAAAAACTTATTCTGAAAACTAATCAAGCCACAGCAAGCAAAACATGCAGAATGGTGAATGGAAGAATAAGCTCTCAACGAACGTCAGCTGCCACCGTGAATGTTGGTGGAGAAGCAGCCTGGGAATCGGAAGACTGAGTGCTGGCTCTACCGGTCATTCACTTTGTGGCTTTGACACACGGACCCCAGGATCTCGTTTCTCCACACATACCCATTAAAATATCAGTAATACCCAGCCACCTATTTGACAGACTCGCAGCAATGTTCAAGGGAGCTGAGAGATGTGTAAATGTGTAAAACTACAAACCTGTAAGCCACACACACCCAGAGCTAGGAATGGCACCTCTGCCGAATCTGCTGGGTGGTCCATGATTTATACCATGGCTATTTATTTTTATCCCTCTTTTTTTTTTTTCTTTTGGTACTGGGGATTGATCCCAGGTCCTTATGCTTGCGAGGCAGGCACCGGAACCACTGAGCTAAATCCCTGGCCCTTTATCCCTCTCTTCCATTGGATTTGAACTCTTTAAAGCAGGAATCACCTTTCTCCCCCACTTTGCATGTGTGCCCCTGTACCTGTGCCTGTGCGTGTGCGTGTGTGTTGGTGGGGACTGAACTCAGGGCCTCGCACATGCTCCCCAATCCTCCACCACTGAGGCACAAGCCTAGCTCCACACCTTGCTCTGACACAACCCGAGGTCCAGCCTGATGCCCGGCCACAGTGTCTGCTCAGTAAAGCAGGAACCCAGAGGACTAAAGGCGCCTCGGCTGGGTTTCTGGCTGCTTGCTCCCCTTGGACTGGAAGCGCTATCGAGTGAGGCTTCCCAGAAGGAGCACCTGGAAGCAGCCTGTGGAAGAGAGCAGCCAGCAGACACAGACTGTGGGGATGACCCATGGGCCACCTCACATGGAGGTGCTTCCTGCCTTCTGACCTCTGTGCTCAGCAGCAGCCTTTCCAATCCTGGGCGCCTCTGAGCGAGGGTCTTTCCTATTGGAACATCCGTCAGGACCAGCTTGTGTGAGCTGGACCATCCAAACCTGGGAAACAGAAATGGGCCCTAGCCATGTCAAGTCACTTTGAGGCCTTGTTTTCTTTCTTTCCATGTGGCAACCGTGGCTTTTGTGTCCCTCTCCACAGTCTGTGTAGCTCCCCTGCCACGGGGGTCTCGCACATGCTGTTTGACTAGTGGCGTCACCCACCTGTGCTCAAACGGGCAGTGCTGAGCACACACCGGACCAAGGCGTAGAAGCATCCCGGAAACCACAGTGGGCAGACTGGCAGGAGCTGACTGCGAGGAGGAGGCGGCCGCTGTGATTGAAGCTGGATTTTTTCGGACTGCTGGCTGCCTTCACATTTCCTGGTGGAAGTGGCACAGGTCAACAGACGACCCAGGGTCACAGATAACTTTACCCACACATGATTCACTTTTGGGAGCATTGGCTGGAAAGTGAGGGGGGCGTGTGTGTGTGTGTGTGTGTGTGTGTGTGTGTGTGTGTGGGTGTGTGTGTGTGTGGGTGTGTGTGTGTGTGGGTGTGTGTGTGTGTGGGTGTGTGTGTGTGTGGGTGTGTGTGTGTGTGTGTGTGTGTGTGTGTGTGTGTGTGCTCCAACCATGTGCCTTCCGCGGGCCTCAGAAGTCTGACTTTCTGCACATGGCTGATTACAACACAGAGGATGTGGACAGTGGAGTTTTTCCGGTTTGATGTCACACTGTTACCCTTTAAAAGTCGGAGCGGGAAAAGGAGAGAATCCAGCCTAGGAGCCTGACAGAGCTACCTGCAAAGAAGAGGAGGCCCAGAGCAGGGAGTCCGGGACGTGAAGTCAGGGAAGAGCTCGGGTTTCAGACTCAACCCTGGCACTCAGTGCAGCGATGCTGGGGGCCTGCCTCGGGCTCCTGGTCTGTGCCCTGAGCTGGGTCAGAGCCTATCCCGATGCCTCCCCGTTGCTTGGCTCCAGCTGGGGTGGCCTGACCCACTTGTACACAGCCACTGCCCGGAACAGCTACCACCTGCAGATCCACAGAGACGGCCACGTGGACGGCACGCCTCACCCAACTGTCTACAGTGAGTGGGAGCTTTGGGCCAGGGAGGGGCGCACCCCAGTACCCTGCAGGGAGGCAGCGGAAACTGGGGCCAGGCCACAGGGCTAGCCCAGCCGCCTACCTTTTTTTGTTTTTTTTTGGGGGGGGGTTGAGACAGGGTCTCACTATGTAGTTGAGACTGATCTGGAACTATGTAGCCCAGGGTGGTCTCAAACTCACAGCGACCCTCTTGCCTCAGCCTCCTGAATGCTGGGATTACAGGCATGAGCCCCCACGCCTAGCTCAGCTTCTTGCCTAGAAAAACACTTAATTGTGTGTGTGTGTGTGTGTGTGTGTGTGTATGTGTGTTGTAAACTTTAGGGGGAGGGTCTGCCACTTCCCTAACTGCTATTTTTTGGTTCCTCTCAACATGAATGAGTTTATCAAAACCCTCTTCTTAGGCTAGGACTCACTTTCCCTTTGCCCCATCCAAGGATTCAAAAAAATATACAGAAAGAGAAAGAATTGAAATAGAAAAGAAACCAGATAGGGCCACAGGCACCGAGTTTGAGCTCGGGAACTTTGAATGAGGTCAACTAGGGAAAATGAAGGTTGATTTCTCATTCCAAGGCCTAGAATAGGACTCAGGGTCTGGCCTTATAAAAACGTGCCACAGATGTATCAAAGACACACCTCCCAGTCCGTCTGCAGCCTGGCCCCTCCTCGCCTCAATCTATGCTGCAGGTTCTGTTCTGTGCAGCTGCAAGGTGTCTAACTGGCCAGAAGCTGAGGTAGCAGCGAGACAACTGGGATGTTTTTAAAGGCTGGGTTTGTTGGCTGGGGATTTAGCTCAACGGTTCCACTACATGCCTCGCAAGTGCAAAGGTCCCAAGTTCAATCCCCATACCAAAAAAAAAAAAGGCCCGGGTTTGTGGAAAGTTGGATGATAATGAGCAAGTCAGTCGATTAGCTGTGATTCACATAAGGTCCCTTCCTGTGCACCTACACCAAGAAGGAGGAGGGAAGAGGGGAGGGAGCATTGAAAAGACAGAGTTTTCTATATTAGGAGACATAAAAGTTACTCTGAGGATGCAGAAAAATGGAAACTGATCCAATACAGTTCAGGTTAAAGGAAAGAAAGAGTAATAACCTTTAAGTAGCCAAGAAATTTCTTATAGGAACTATGAATTTTCCTTTGCTGTTGTAATAAATTAATTATTTTTGCTCTGGTCTTGCCGTGTACAAAATATTCATTCTACAAGAAACCAAGATAGCCAGAGGTTCACACACGCAGAACTCGGACACTGTCCAAATGTCCACTGCACGTCCACAGGAGGAAAGTGAGAAAAGCTCCTGCCAGATACCAGACATGTTGCACAACTCAAGGGGACAGAGAAGGACTTGTGGCTCAATGAGCCCTGAAAGACAAGTTGGAGCTTAGCAGGGAACTGGACGTAGTCCAAGTCCCTTCCTGTACCCATGTGCTGCTCCCTGGGTGCTACTGAATTTGATGGCACGGTTCTTCAAAGGCCTCAGACTCTGTCACTCCTTCTTATTCCTGAGCTCACTGTCAGTCTTTAGGAAATACAAATCTATTCCTCCACAGAGGGCTGCCCTGACTTTCACTGCAATATTCTGTGTGATTTAAAATGTGAGAGAGTGGACTGGGGTAAGTCATTTTGGTCCCCAATAGATTAAAAGTGCTCCCTACAATGAGGGAATAAAGTGCTCCTAAGACTTCTCTCACACCACGGAATATCTGCTGAAGGAAGCCCTCTGAAGTCATATCCTCCTGACAGACACAAGGAGCAGTTCAGGCAGACACTGTGGGGAAGGGTCCTGGCAGCCCCGAGCATGCAGCCCACAGCCCACGGGGCAGGACTTTTCCAGGGGAGCCCACCAGGCAGGGCTGAGGACCCACCACGCCAGTCAGAGTGAACGGTGTAAGAGGACGTGAAACACAGTGAGCTAACTTCAGATGTGTGTGTGTGCACATGTCCCATCTGATAGGTGCAGTAAGCACTGGGGGAGTGGTCTGGAGAAGATTAACCCTAACCTGGGAAGAGGAAGCAGGGTCACAGTAGTGGAGGAGACATCCACTTTCCTAGTTTACGTGAAACCTTCAGTACTGTTCAGTCAGTTAGCCTGTGTATTTCCAGTTACTATTAAGTGTGAAAAGTCACAAAGAGGAGAGGAGAGGAATTATGGATGCAGGTAGATAGAGCTCAGCTAATGAAAAGTCTGGTGAAGGACCTGAAACAGTCTCACGGGTGAGTGGAAGCATGCCTTTATGCGGATGGAACTATGTTTATGGTTGTTTTTCTTCCTGGGTAATTATGCGTTCCCAGTGAAATCTGAATCATCTGGTTGTTTTGTTTTTAGCAAATTCTTGATTAAGAGTTGAGTACCTAACTTCTTTCAGGAAACTGGTCTTGACCATGGACACCCCAAAAACTATCAGCCCTGAGATTTCCCTGGGCTGTCCTGGTCCCCAGGACCCACATACTTGTCCTACTGTGAACATGAGTGCCTCTGGGGAAACGTGAGGACAGAAATGCTTATCACATTGGTTAATACACCTTTATTTTCTTTTATGGTGTCAAGGATTGAAACCAGGGCCTCAGTGTCCTGGGCAGTGCCTACAGCTTAACCACTCCCCAGGACACACTGGCTAATATCACATCCTAGGTCCCAGTGTTTTCACACCCCACACCCACGGAACTCAAACTCCGGAACTCAAACTCGATTCACTTGAAGCTGAATTATTTGGATTCTTTCACTCTTATCTTATTTGTCACTTACTGCGGATGAGAATAGAATAGAGCAGATAATGTTCTTTTATAGCAGAAGCTAAAGGGAAGTGCTAATGGAAACACTGTAATTACTAGCAAGTAGAAATCCCTTTCTAGTGGATGAAATGAGCCCATTATCTTCTCAGGTAAATGTTTCTGCTGCCTTTGCTTTATTGAAAAATGTACATAACTGGTTCAAGGTCACCCAAGTATAAATGACCCCGAGGACATCTTGACCGCAGGTCCCATTTCCTCACCTGTCCAGCCCGCCCGGTTCCAGCAGGTGGGTGGCTTCAGCAGCCAGGGACATTCCCTGGAATCTGCTTGTGGGACAAGGAAGCCCCCCACTTTCCGGGCTTCCCCTCCCCCACTCTCGCTGGCCCCGCCCCACTGCTCCATCGCTCCACCCAGCACTTTCCCGGGGCGGCCTGGAGCCCGTGAGCCATAGCCCCCACCACTGACCCCGAACCCCCAGCTCTCCAAGGTCAAACGTGAGCATGACACAGCCCGGCTCAGCACTGGCCATTCGAAGCCTTGTGCTACCTGATGGGGTGACCTGCGAAGGAGGTGGGGTGCCTATCCTTGGCTGCTTGCAGCCCAGGAAGCTGAGGGTACAGCCGTGAGTTGCCCGAGGCCATGAAGCATTAAGTAGCAGAATTGGGACCTGAGCAGGCTCCTGGTTCAGGGCCTGTCCCCCAACCCACAGGGCCATGGAATGGGATGCCTCACCTGACCGGCAGCCTTACCAGCCCTCTGCATTGTCTTTTCATACTTGTAATAATTTCTGCAGGGCAGAACCCATAGTGTCCTAGGAGAAAGCCACCTCCAACTGGAGTTGGGGTTCTGCTTGTTATTTAAATTGGAATGCTTCTGCTACTACTAAAATAATATTAACAGTGTAACCAAAAATGTTATTTTGAGAATTTAAAATTATAAAGTACTTAGAGCACAACAACTCAAAAAGTTATTAAATGGATTTTTTTCTCAATTGGACTGAAGACTCATCAGGACAGAAACTATTTTTTATACATTGCTAATGTATCTCCCAGGATTTACCACAAAATTAGCCATATATTTGAGACATACAGGCAGACACCATCTTGGAATAATTTAAATAATTTCCAGACCTCCTACTCTCCCAAGGATTCCCTCAGGCTGCACTTTATTTATTTATTTATTTTTCACTTTTATTTTTTTTGGTACCGGGGATTGAACTCCTGTCCTTGTGCTTGCAAGGCAGGCCACCGAACCACTGAGCTAAATCCCTGGCCCTAGGCTGCACTTTAATAATAACTTTTCTCCTTGGCCCGTCTTCTTTCTGGGCCCATTCCTTGTCCCATATCATCCTGACTTTGGTTTTATGGGGTGCTGTACTCAGCTGGGGTCTTTTTGCTATTCCTCCCTTCAGGGGTCTTTGTAGTGAGTTTACATGGGACAGGAGAAGAGCCTTGGGCTTTAATTCACCCGAAGGGCTCCCTGACCTGTCAGGTACAGCTTCGGGCATTTACAGCCTCTCTGGGTTAGGTCTGCAAAAGAGGGTGAGGAACCCTGCCTCAACATCTTCCCTGGTGCAGTAAGGTCAAATAAGGTGCATATGGGATTCTATGGTAGGTGTCTCGCTGAGGCATAATATCTGACACCCACAAGTTAAAGGAGGAGAGGTTTATTTTGGGTCGCAGTTTGTAGAGGTCTCTGTCCAGAGTCATCTGGCTCCGAGGCAGAGCAGCACAGCAGAGGAGAAACAGCTCATGGCAGGGCAGGCAGGAGGCAGAGTGGGATCAAGGGCTCAGGAGGGTTACATACCCTGCAGGCACGCCCACCTCCGTCCACCAGGCTTCACCTCCCAACGTCACACCCAACTATGTGTGAGTATCACACACCCTGATCCAGTCACCTCCCAAGGCCCCATCTGTGAATGCATGAGGCTTGGGGACATCAGGATATAAGCCATGGCAGTAGGCAAATGCAAGTGACCCAGAGACCTTAGAAAAAGGATTTGGACAGGAAAATGTCAGGTTTGGGGAGAAGTTTCACTAATTATCACTCCTATAAAACCACTGTGTGGTCTCATTGTACCCTTACCACAAAACAGAAGGCACACTTACACTGCTATTAGTTATTCATGGTGTAGGCAATACTCACGGGCTCCAGGCCATGGTCAGAGATGAGCTGAGAGGACACGGAAGACTATGATGGACTGACTCTGGAAGGGGCCCTGCTGAGTGACTAAAGGACAAAGTACTGAACCCAAGTAGAAAATGCAATCGATCGACATAGACAGACGCACTCTCTGCATCTACATAGCTCCTGCCAGGAGGCACAGACATGTAACTCTAGGGCAAGGGAGGAATGCAAGTTGTAGTAATGGTGCAGGCATTGTGCCACAGGCTGAGAAGGAACAGCCAGTTCTGGTTAGGGAGATGAGGAAGGTCTTTACGGAGTGGTATCTGAGTCTGGGAAGAGGGAGAGCAACTCTTAACACGCACAGCTGGCTGTGTAGAAAATCAGACTCTAGACACACAGAACCAGTGGGCTTGAAAGTACATAAACACCGCTGCAAACATTAACAGGTACTAGCCAGAAGCCAGGCATGGTGGCGCATACCTGTAATCCCAGCAACTCAGGAAGCTGAAGCAGGGGGGATCCTAAATTCCAAGCCAGCCTAGGGAACTTAAGTGGGACCTTGTCTCAAAAATTAAATTTTAAAAAAATCCTGGGGATGTAGTTCAGTGGTAGAGTACTTGCTTAGCGTGTGAGGCCCTAGATTCAATCATCAGTACAGAAAAAAAAAAAAAAGTATTACCTGGGCAAAGAGAGAATAAAGTTCAGACAGAAAAACGTGTGCAGCACAGGCTAAAGAATCCCAGTTTAGAAGGCCTGCTGCAGGCAAGAGGGTGGTGTGGGAGCTGTGTGTGTGTGTGTGTGTGTGTGTGTGTGTGTGGTCACAGGAAACAAGAGGCTGAGTGGAAGGTGGGTGTCAGTGAAGTCAACACCAAGAGTGTCCCAGGGGTCTCCAAGAGGAGCTCGCCATGGGACCTGACTGTGGCCAGCCTTTGACCTGAGCGTTTTCTGCAGGTGCCCTGGCGATCAGATCAGAAGACGCTGGCTTAGTGGTGATAACCGGGGTGATGAGCAGGAGATTCCTCTGTATGGACTCCAGAGGCAACATTTTTGGATCAGTGAGTTTCTTTTTGTGCTGGTCACCATTTGCAACCATCTGACTTCTCTGACAGGACAGACTTCCCTAGCTGAAGTCTCCCTTTGCCTGTGTCCCTGCGTGATGTGTCCACTGCTGCTTCATGCAGCCCAAGGAGGAAGCGCGCAAGTATAAGCAGCTTGAACCTCGGGATGCTGGTGCCCGGTCTTCTCTGCCCACTGTTTTGCATCTAGGATGGACCCTGGGCCGTGTGAGCTCCTGCATGGCATATATTAGAATGCCGAGGGGCCACTGGCATCCTGAGCTGTCACCAGCTGTGACCCAGACAAATGCTCTCACTTCCCCAGCTTCAGTGCAGTGAAGTGAACCACAGGACGAGGCTCCCTCCGGCTAAGGCTAATAAACTCCTCAGTTCACTGACTGTGCCCTGGGGTGAGTGACTGCCTGTCCCTCAGACTAGTAGGCAAAGTTTCCCAGACTGAAGCCTGCAGCACAGGCCGGGGAACTCTGAGACAGGCAAATAGAAGCCCTGGCTGTCTCAGGGTCTCTTAGCACTAAACAGACCCACTAGGAATTTCTGGAGAGGAGACATTTCACAAGGTCCCAGGAGTGCAGTAGCATCTGGCCAAAGATAAACCGCTGCTGAAGGCGTCTAGGCAGACAGATCGTCCTGGTCTGAAAACCACGTGATGGAGTCTTAAGATTGAATGGAACAAGATGCACAGGCCCTGTGGGTCATAAGGCAGCAGGACCAGGGGCAGCTCACCTGCTAGCGAGGTCCTGTCCCTAACGCCAAACTACAGGATCCGAGGGTAACTGGCTCCAGGAACTCCATCCCATCTCCTGTCTCAGGAGACGGAAGCCAGCCAGCTGGGGGCGGGGGGTGGTGTGGCGCACAAGCTGGCTCTGCCTCCAGAACCCAGGCCGTCCCCTGCCCGGTCAGGGCCTCACCCTGCAAGCAGGTACCGGCCCAGGCCCCCCGCCAAGAGCCCAGGCACAGTCACCTCCTTTCCTAGCAGGGACACCCGAGCCCCGACCCGCATGGGCCGCGCGCCGCGCTCACCCGCGCCCGTCCTCTCACAGCAGCACTTCAGCCCCCAGGACTGCAGCTTCCGACACCGCAGGCTGGACAACGGCTACGACGTGTACCACTCCCCCGAGCACCGCTTCCTGGTC